CCCCCCAGCCACAGTCTGTGTGAGGAATGATTTGTGATTTCCATGTGCCTCCAGGTGAATCTTTACGGTTCACCGCCAAGGGCAAGAAGGGCCCCCCACATCTCCAATGTTGGGCTCCCAGCAGGGCCAAGAGGCAGGGGGATGGGGGGGTCCTCAGCTGCCATCGGTCACAGGTGAGCTACCCGATGTCCACACAGGTGTGGCTCACACCTGGTCTCCTGTCTCAGGTTACCATGGCCTCCTGCATCCATCAAGGTTCCTCTGCAGGTTCCTGGGAATAGGGGGCTGCTTTTCTGGGGAAGGGGATTCTGGGGTGATGGGCAGTGAATGGCCAGGGCCACACTGAAACTGTCAGGTGGTGACATACAGGGTAGCGGTCTCCAGCACCTCCCTTGCCGCCCTTACAGGGAATGGCCACAGGTGAGAAGGGGCCAGAGGAGCCCAGCTTGAACCTGACCTTGGTTTCTACCCTGTGATCTTGAGCTAGTGTTTCCTTTGGGGGCCTCAGTTTCCCTGTGTGTCAATGGATAGAAAGGCAGTCGTCCGGGACTTGTGTAACCCTGTACAAACTAAAATCGACTGCCGCTAAGCCTTTGTAAATACCGTCAAATTTTCTAGAAACCCCATGGGTGATTTATAGGTGACAAAGGGAAAACCTTTACGGAAGAGGAGCCTGGCAGACGGCCCTTACCCTGCTGACGAGCGTTCCCATCGCCCGCTTTGCGACAGATTGACAGCATAGCCCCAATTCAGTCGTGGGGAAATGCCAGCTGGACCTCCCCTGGGGGACAGTGTATAACATGACTGGCCTGCAGCCTTCGGAACCATCAGGGGAACGACAGGGGAAGAAACACTGGTGAAATCCTGGCAGATTAAAGGAGGCTAAAGAGACGTGACAAGGGATTGCCACGTGTAATCTTGGGCTGAATCATGGACCAGGGGACAAAATGGTGGTTGAGACGCTGGCTGAAATTTGAATACACGGTGTTAGAAAAAAAAGTATTATATCAATGCTAAATATTCCTGAATTTGATGACTGCACTGTGGTTATGGACTGGATCTGGGGGGAAGAGTCTCAGCGTGAAGGGCCATGATGAGTACAACTAGTTTTGTAATAACGATAATATACGGAGAGAGGTGAGTCAAGTGGGCTGAATGTTAATCCTCAGTGAGCCTGGTGAGGACACGTGGGTGTTGACAGCCATTACCCAATTTTATAGAAAAGACAACAGGCTCAGGGATCAGCACTTTGCTGGGGGCCACCTAGCCAGTATGTGGCCAGCCGGGATTCTTAGAAGCCCCAGCCTCGATCAAGTCCCCTGGGGAACCACACCCTAATTCTCAGAATGCTCACTGCACTTGGAATTCGTTGTCTCATGTGGGATCCCCCATGAGCACAGGGACGACGCTTGTCTTGTTAACGGCTGTAGCCCCAGTGCCTGCACGGGAGTCACTCAGATATTTGCTGGGCTGCATTAGACTACTAGGCGTCAGGATCCCCAGAAAAGCTGCTGTTGGAAGAAACAGAGGAACGCTTGGAACGGAAATGAGAACCTCCGCGGGGGGAAAAACTGAGGGCATTCAAATAAAGCACGGAGTTGAGTTAATAATAATGTATCCATATCCGTTCGATTGTGACAAATGCACCACGCCTACGCGAACGCCTACGCGAACCGCAGGGGAACCCGGGTGCAGGGTGAGTGGGAACTCTTAATATTCTCACAACTTTTCTGTCAATCTAAAATGACCCTAAAATTAAGAGTTTATTAAATTTTTTTAAGGATATTTTGAAAATTAAAAGGATTTGAGAGGTCGGTATTTATAGATGTGGAATAATCGCTAAGGTGTATTAGAAAGGGCTAAAAGCGAGGTGCTCAAAGGAAAAGGCTCTCTACCCATGTTGCTTCTACATACAGGTCAGCAAACTATGTTCCGGGCCAAATTGGGTCAGCCACCCATTTCTCTATGACCTCACAGCCAAGAATGGTTTTCCCATTTTTAAGTGGTTGAAAAAAAAAAAAAATCAAAAGACGAGTACCATTTGGGGACCCATGAAACCGATAGGAAATTCAAATGGCAGTGTCCATCAATAAAGTTTTATTGGAACACAGCCACACACACATCCACTGATGTGGCTACTTTCCTGTTGCGACAACCACAAGCTTGGCTGTCCCTGGAGAGACAGATGGATGAGAACTTTGGACAGTGGTTTGCTGTAGGAAGGAGAACAGATTGGATGGGGGAACGGGAGTGATGGTTGCTGGATGTATCCTTAAAAATCTAAGTCATTTACCAAAAGACGTTTTGGGAAGGAAGGTGGGTTTCGCAGGGCCCCTGGGAAGGGGGTTGAGACATCTTAAGTAGAAAGGATCATGCCTGAAGGCATTTGAGGCATCCGTTGTTATTTCACTGGATAGAAGCCCTTTCCAAAGGTCGGTCTTCTCATGGTGGGGCAGGTTAGTATCAGGCAAGCAGGGGCAGAGAGAGTTCTCTCTTCTGCACCTTGCTTTTTGCCCTTTCTAACACACCTTAGCAATTATTCCACATCTATAAATACCGACCTCTCAAATCCCTTTAATTTTCAAAATATCCTTAAAAAAGATTTAATGAACTCTTTATTTTAGAATCATGTTTAGATTTACAGAAAAGTTGTGAGATTATTAGAGTTCCTACACACTCTGCACCCAGGTTCCCCTGCGGGTTAGTATCCCCATGGTCCTTTTGTCACAATGGAACCAAAATCGATACAGTATTATTAACTAAAGGGCATGCTTTGTTTGGATGTCCTCAGCCTTTCTCTTTCTCTGTCCCAGGATCCCATGTTACATTTAGTTGTCCTGTCTCCTCAGGCTCCTCCTGGCCGGGACAGTTTCTCAGACTTCTTGACAATTTTGAGGAGTCCTGATCAGGGATTTTTTTTTTTTTTTTTTTTTTTTTTTTTTTTTTGGATGTCCCCCACTTGGGGTTTATCTGATGTCTTCCCATAATTAGACTCTTCATGTGGAGGAAATCAAGACTCCAATCTCCTGTCCTCTCTCTATCCTGCCTCTGTGAAACCCTTCCAAGTCCTTCCCGCAGCCTTTTCCCCCTGGGAAGGTAACTCCCTCACGATCCAGACACGACTTCCCACAGTCCCCAGCGCACTCATGATGGCAGCTTCGGGTAGAGCCGGCTTAGACCTACCTGATTGTTAATCCTTGAGTGTGATCGGAGAGGCCGGTCTGGTGGGGCCCAGGTGCCCCCAGATTATATTTGCTGGGAGAGAAAAGGAGGCAAGAGACAACCTGGCAAAGAAGAACAGGAAGATTAATAATAATGTTACAACGTGGCTGTTTATTAAATGCACAGGGATATGCAATACAACCCAGGAGCAGTCCCTCCGTCCCGGACATGTGGCGACCATATTTTCCTGGCCCAGCATTGGGACACACAGATTGGCAAAGAGCATTCTATTTCTTTTAATACCTTTGAAAGACCTTCTGATTTGTGAATTTCTTTAGGGAAGGCTACGTTTAGTCGCACATTTTAATAAAGGCAGTTCATGAAAATAATAAAATAAAAGTACACGAAGCCAGGACTGGTGGGGCAACCCACACTTGCCCTCTCATAAAAGGCTAATATCCTGGAGCTGCCTTATAAAGCCTGCTTCAGCCCCTCCTGACCAGGGTCTCTGTGTGCAGAAAACAGCCCCCTAATTGTCATTTAATTAAAGAGCATTTTCACGAATATCAATAAATATCTGCTGAATAAAGTGACCCCTTAAATCATCCACTCTAGGCGTGTGTGAGGGTACATTTTTACATGTGTATGTGTGCTTTCCTCGCAAGGGACTACAAGAGGCGGAGAGGGCGAAATTCGACCTTTCAAGTAACCCTCTACAGAAAGCAAATAAATCCTCATGAAGGGGGTTGAATAGTGTCCCCCAAAGAGATACACTCCCATGCCCTGCACTCTGGAACCTACCAATGTGACCTTAGTTGGAAGAGGGTCCTTGCAGATAGAAAGTTAAGGATCTTGACGTGAGATCATCCTGGATTTGAGATGGGCTCTAAGCCCAGGAAGAGAAAGGAGAGGGGAGTGGATTTGACACAGATGCACAGGGGAGAAGGCATTGTCCACAGGAGGCAGAGACTGGAGGGATGCCGTCACAAGTCACGGGCCACCTGGGGCCACCGGGAGCTGGACCAGGAAAGGAAGGATATTCCCCTAGAGACTACCAGGAGGGTGCAGCCCTGCCCACACCTTGATTTGGGGTCTCCTGCCTCCAGAACTGTGAAGGGATACATTTCTGTTAAGTCACCACGTTTCTGGTAATGTTACAGCACCTGTAGGAAACCAACGAACCTCAAAATCCTAGCTCTTAAGACTACTTAATACTACTTAATATGTCACAGCTCTGTGACTTTGAGCAAGCTGCCTTAATCTGGTTCCCAGCGGACTCGCCCGCAAAACAGACATGTTTATTTCCAATGGACACGTTCTAATACTTACAAGGGACGCTCTCATAGATTCATGGTGTCTGGCAGCCTTTCTGAACCTCAGTTTCCTTATCTCTGAATGGGAGGCAAGCATCCCTAATCCTTACCGCCCCCCTCCCCTTCTTCGGGCTGTTTTAGGATTCAATAATAAAAGAAAATACAGAAGGGGACTAAAACGACTTCCGAGTGTTCCCCAGCACTCAAGCGCCCAACTCGCCACACGCAGACCCCAGCCAACCAGCGCCCCCGGGCGCCTGCGGGCCAAGGGTTTCTACGGGCGAAAACAGCCTGCGCATGCGCAGAATGCAAGCGCTCAGGCCCGCCCCCTTGAGGGGTGTGACTTCCTTGGGTCGCTCCGGTTCGGCCTCGCCTGCTTCCGGAGAGGGCGGGCTTACGTCTGAAACACGTGATCTTGTTCCGGCTCGCCAAAGATGGCGGCTCCCAGAGCGGGAGCGTGAAAGTTGTTGGTGAAAGACGCTGTCCACCTGCGCTGGCATCGCAACCCAGTGGGGACCGTGCGCCATGTCGCGACTGATCGTGAAGAACCTCCCGAATGGGGTGAGTGCGGGGCCTGGACTTGAGAATCTGAAATTGGGAGCAGCCAGTTGGGGGCTAGGAAGGAGGTGGCTGGGGAGAATTGAGGGGCTTCGGCCCTGGGGCAGGACTCAGGACGTATTCGAAACCCAAAAGGGCAGGATCGGTGGCAAATCCCCCATTTGACAGTTGGGAGAGGGGGACAGCGAGCGCTCAAGGTTCCACAGCCGGTCCGAGGGTACTTGACTTCCATCCCGACAACTTTTCCGGCGGAGATGCCAACACCCCACGTGGGCTGAATGCTCTCTTCAACAACCCCTCTGGTCCGATCACGTTTTTTTGTTGACTTGTGACTGGCTCGGACCCTGCACTGGTATTCATCTCCCACTCGGGAAACTGTTGGAGAGGCAAATGGGGAGTATTAGGTTGAGGACCTGCGTTACAATCCTGACTCCCAACTTTAGGGCCAGTGGGCATAATTTAAGGAGACTGAGTGCGTGTGAAGGGCTTTAAACCGTTTATCCAATAATTAGAGAGGGGTGAGCCAGTCACACTTGTCACTGTTTCAAGAGCCCAGCACAGAACCTGGCACGTGGTAGACATTCAAACAGGTGGAACGAATGAGTGAAGAAATAGCCGGGAAGTAGGTGGTGTCAGATGCCTGGAGGCAGCGTGCCCCAGGGGTTCATCCTTACCTATTTTGCTATAACTTTTGTTGGGATGAAGAGCCCCCCCCCACCACTGGTGTGGCTAGTAAGCTCGTTCCCAAGATACAAAATGTGCCCTTTGGATGGGATGAGACGTCTTCTGGACTCTTAACTCTAATTCCTCAGGAGGTTCTCTCCTTAGGAGTGACAACACAAAGCCATTTCGGCTTTATTGTGTGTGTGTAACTCCCCCCCCCCCCCCCCCCCCAGCGGTTGTGGGGGACCTATGACAGGATTTTAAGAATTCAAACACTACAAAAAAAAATTTTTTTTTCAAACAGCGCAATGGTGTATGAAATGAGAAGCAAAATCTTTTGCTCCACCCTGCCTCTGTCTTTCTGTCCAGGAGGAATCATCTTCAGTGGTTTGTTTTTAGGACTCCTCACTGGTGTTTCTTCATGTCTAAATAGCGTGCTCTCTCCTCCATTTCGTGGTCTGTTTACCTCAGTGACTATCTGCTGACCCTCCCCTAAGCAAGATGAGGAATTTTGATCATCTGTTTTTCCCTAACTGTCTGTTATATTATTTTTAATTCTTCCATTGTTTACCCTAAGGAGTAAACCTTCAGAATACATCTTGATCCATCCATCTGCTTTAGGCAGTGCCTCACGTTGATGGATGAGGACTTTAGCATAGCTACCCTCCCAACTTCCGTCTCATTGGGCTTCTTCTCTCGTTGGACTGACTCTCTTACCCTTGCTTGTCTTGTCTGATGAATGAAAGAATTCACGAAAACCAATGGTAGTAGTAGCTGACGTTTTGAGAGCTCGCTGCGTCCCAGGCACTGCACCAGTGGCTTTCGGTTAAGTAACTCATTTATTCCTCAGCAGAACCCTACAAGGTAGCTTCCATGATTACGCCCATTTTAAAGGTGAAGCGACCGAACTACAGCAAAGGAGAATGATTTCCCTGAGGTCGCACACAGCTGGTAATTCAAAGAGCAGGGATTGAATTGAGCAGTCTGCTTCTAGAAATGTGCGTTCCTGACCCCTTCACCGTACTGTCTCTCTTTGCACGATAGCATACACTTTTCTTAACTCTTTCCCAACACACATTTAGTAGTGACTACTTGTTATGTTGCTGATATTGTAGATAGTGGGAGATAAAATTCAGTCCCCCCTCTTCCCCTCCCTTAGAGCACGAGCAGTCTAGCAGAGGAGATCGGAGCCAAATCACTGTGACATAAGGTCAAGGATCGAAGTAGGACCCCGTGCTGTGTGAGCACAGGCGGCTTGGTTACCTGACCCACCTGAGGAGTCCGGGAGAGGCCTCCTGGGGGAGATGACTGAATTGAGAATGAGGGGTTAGCCGGGGCCTTTTGGGAAGATTGCACCCACAGGAGACGACCAGTAAAACCTCAGAGGTGGGAGTCGGGGAGGGCTTCGAGAAGTTTGGCAAGAGGTGGTACTGCAGGGGTGGGTCAGGCCGGGTCGTGGAGAATCTCGTGTTTTACCTTAGCAGCTTCTCCATGAGCCTTTGGCGTCCGAAAGTCGCCAAGAGGTTTTGGACGGAGGAATGGTGGGGTCAGACTTGCGCGTGGCTCTTCCCAGGTAGTGGGGGTGATGAATTTCACTGCCTTTTATGCACCTGAGCTGAGTCACAGACCTCGAGCCTGTAGATCTTGGGTAGACCGTTGGTCCTCCACGAGCTTTGTTTTCTCCTCTCTAAAAACGTGGATAATGATCCCTAACTCATAGGGTGATACGAGATTTTAATGATTACAGAGTTATTAAGAACCTGCCTCAGAAAATGTGTTTTCCCTTCCTACTGGGCTGCCAAGGTCTCCAGTGTTTTTAATTTTAGACCTTGTATTGGCTATTTTGGGGGGTTTTTGGTGTCCCCAGTACTACATACACACAGTTCTCCCAGTCACTGCTTAAAAAAACTCACTGTGGGGCGCCTGGGTGGCTCAGTCAGTTAAGCGTCCGACTTCAGCTCAGGTCATGATCTCGCGGTCTGCGGGTTCGAGCCCCGCGTCGGGCTCTGTGCTGACAGCTCAGAGCCTGGAGCCTGCTTCAGATTCTGCCTCCCTCTCTCTCTGCGCCTTCCCTGCTCATGCTTTGTCTCTCTCTCTGTCAAAAATAAATAAAAATAAATAAATACAAAATAAAAAAAACCTACTGAATTGATGGCAGCCTGCTGGAGAGGATGGGGGCCAGGTTAAAGCTTCCCCATACTCAAATGCTATGACCAAACTTAAAGAACAGCTACACGAATTAGTTTTCTAATAACAATAGCACAAGAAATTACAATAAACGGCGGGTTGGGGAGAGAATACATACTGGGTAAATAGTCTGCATAGTTTTGAGGGCAGAGAACCTTGTTTTCTTTTCAGTTCCATTAGTTTTGAGAGAGCTGGGTGGCTGGGAGAAGAGTGCGAAGAGAGAGGGAGAGATCCCAAGCAGGCTCCACAACACCAGTGCAGAGCCTGTCATGAGGCTCCCGAACCCAAGAACCGGATCACGGGCCATTGCAAGTCGACGACCTAACCGGCCGAGCCAAATTCTGTGTTGAAATCCTAAAAATCAAGGCAAGGGCATAGGGGCTTGTTCCTTTATGACTCTGGAGAATTTGTTTCTTTTGCTTTTAAGCCCAGCAGGCTAGTTCTGTTTCTCCTGTGGGGCTTTTGGCCACCTCCTGAATGGTCAGCCAACAGCATAGCATCAGGTAGTTCTTTCTTTGTCTCCAAATATCCCACCTTTTCCGCCCTGGACCTCCTGTCTTCTCTCAGAGTAGGGAAATGCTGACCTCAGATCCACCAATCCAGAACTTCCATCTCAAATACACATCTGTGAAATGCCTTTGCCATCAATAGTCATATACTCACGGGGCCCAGGGATTAGGATGTGTGGGACATCACCTCCACCACAACAGAAAATCAATGCACCTACCACGTTCATTTGTTCATGCGTTTATCCTGACAGGTCTTTTTTTAAAATTTTTTTTTTTTTCAACGTTTATTTATTTTTGGGACAGAGAGAGACAGAGCATGAACGGGGAGGAAGTGAGAGAGAGGAGCAGCAGAATCAGAAACAGGCTCAGTGCCCTGAGCCATCAGCCCAGAGCTCTGATAAGGTAAAGCTCGAACTCACGGACCGCGAGATCGTGACCTATCCTGACAGGTCTTTATCAGGTGTTGGCTGTGGAGTGGCCACAGGGCTGACCTCCCAATGTGTTCGCTCTCCTTATCCTAACAGGGAATCCCAGGGCCTCGGGGTTTCCAGCCCGGTTTTGCCCCCTTGGCTCTGAGGACTCCCCTGCTCCTCGCTCACTGCGCCCCTTCCATCCCAGATGAAGGAGGAGCGTTTCAGGCAGCTGTTTGCCTCCTTTGGCGCCCTGACCGACTGCAGCCTGAAGTTCACCAAAGACGGCAAGTTCCGTAAGTTTGGCTTCATCGGCTTCAAGTCGGAGGAAGAGGCCCGATCGGCACTGAACCATTTCAACAGGAGTTTTATCGACACATCCCGGATCGTGGTGAGTCCACTTCCGCCTGCCCGTCGAACCTGACCCCACTTGACCTTCCCCTCTCCGCTCCTGTCCAGAGCCTGGCTGCTTCCAGACCGTGCTGCCCCGGTCCACCTCACCGGTGCTCAAACTTCCTGCGTACGATTCCCCTGGAGAGCTTTCTCCGCAGTTTCCGACTCAGCGTGGGGGCGGGGTGGGACTCAGCGTGGGGGCAGGGAGCACCCACCCGATGCTGGGAGTTTAGAGAAACATCGTGCCCCTGGCCCCGTCCTCATGGGTGAATAGGCCGCTTTCAGTCCGTGTTGTCAGCGCTGTGACGGGGAAGCGCCAGGGGGCCCGGGTCCTGGCCTGGGAAGGGGTCAGGAGAGCTTCCTGGAGGAGGAGGTCCTGCCCGTGTCACTCATGTACATCTAATGAGTTGGTAAAACATCCTCAACGCTCTGGTGAGGAGAGAAAACCACATGTTGGACTAGTGTGTATCTTGCGATCCCATTCAGACAATTCGTATTTTTTAGTCTACAAGTGTGTGATGTGAAGAGAGCCACGTGGAAGGATTTTTACCAAAACGTTAATTTCTCCCTCCGGGTGATAAGGGTTAGGGTAAAAACGGGTTTTTGTTTGTTTGTTTGTTTGTTTGTTTGTTTTTCCACTTGTACTTCCTCTGTTGATTTAAGCTTCATACATTGAACACATGTCATTGCTACAGAAACAGCAGAACTATTTTGAAAATCCCTACAAAGGGGTGTGGCAGGATGGTAGCCTGTCCCCAGGGGGCAGAGGTGGCCGCCTGGCACTCCTGAGTGTGGCAGAAAGCGTGGCTCTCAGCTCAGGCTGGACACCAAGCACTTCCGGGCTTCCGAGCGGTCGCCCCCCTGTCTCGTCACCCCAGAGCTGTCCTCTGGGGCCAGCTGAGCTTGCCCCACGGTAGTTACAGTGATCCGGGAGGCCGCTACCTTAGCCTCGACCCCCTGCGTCAGCCACCCTGGGGGCTGGATGGCTAAGAACTCGGGCTCCAGAGCCGACCCCCTGCGCAATTAAAAATCCGTGCAGAACTTTCAACTCCCCCCAAATCTAACTACTAATAGCCTACTGTTGACCAGGAGCCCTACTGATAACAGTTAACATGTATTTTGCATGTTATATGTGTTCTGTGCTGTAATCTTACGATAAAATAAGCTAAAAAAAACCAAACACATTAAGGAAATCATGAGAGAAAAGACATTCACGATGCTGTACTGTATTTAGCAAAAAAAAAAAAAAATCTGCATATAAGCGGACCCGCACGGTTCCAACTCGTATCATCCCAGGGACATCTGTAGTCCCTGCCGG